TTTTTTTTTTTTCTTCCCCCATTTTTTTTTACCAAAAAAAAAAAAAAAAAAAAAAACTTTTGCAGTGCATTTTATGAAATGGATGAATATGCATTCCAGCCCTCGGTTTAGTTAATTTTTAGTTTAAATGCAGAGAATTCTAAAATGTGCATGAAAGCTATCGCACAATTGCAAGCTGAACACATATTAACGTCCACAGGCAATAGAACTGTAATGTCCTCTTCTATTTGTACAGTATGGACTGATAAGTCATGTCGTCATTTACCTCTGTGTGTTGCATAGGATGGAAAAATTTATAAAATCTTACAGCAAAAATAATTTAATATCTTTTTGTAATATTATTGTGCTGCATTATTACAAAGATAATATGCTGTCTTTCTATATTGCTTTTTTTTTTTTTACATACTTTGCCTGTTTTGTGTTTATAAATGTATCTGTATGGATGGTTGATTGACACTTGGTTGCTTATTGTAAAAGAAATTGACTTTTGAGAGAAGGGGGAGAAATTATAAGGCTTTTTTCTTCCAATTACTTTTTTTTCATTCAAAATTTTTGTTTATATCAACATGTTACATGTCCATTTTAAACTGTAAATGAATTAAATGAACAAAATAAATACATTTTTTGTTTTAATTTCATTGTCAAAATTATTCACTTTAGAATAATTTCAGTTCTGCACCTGGGTCCTTTACAAACTCTCATTAAAACAGACTTCTTGGCAGAACATTGCCTTCAGAACTAATGAGATCTATTGATATGTAAATACACACAAGTTGTTGCAAACCTATGATAGAATTTCAGAAAATGCAGATAGTGATATTGTCACAAGACCATGGAAATTAAGATCTTTTTATTTGTCTGTGATGACAGGTAAAAAAAAATAATCTATTGGTTGGTTATTCCCATTAATATTCACTGTCATTACTAATCATTCTGTTTGGTAGTTTTATTCTCTTGCAGTTTATTACACAGGGCCTGCAAGTGAAAAAAGGCTGTTCAAATAAATTAACTTTTCAATAATATAATTTACTGGTACATAAAGATATGTACTCTCTTTATATCTTGAGTTTTAAACAAGCCCAGAAACTTCATTAAAACAGGGAAATTCAGCAGATCTTGATGAGGCCAGCGACCCTGAGTAAACTTTCTACAAGACCTGGAAGTTCAGTTGAAATAATTTCTCTCATAGCTCAGAGAGAAGGTCTTATTTTAAGGACCCAGATTACAAAAATTAAATAATTGAGGAATTAATTATTTAATTTAGTATCTTTGTGAAGCAGTTTTGCTGATGCATAGAAGCTGTTCATGTTGCGGTCAAGAATCACAGGTTTTTGGAAAAGCTGCAAATACAAATTATTTCCAAGTACAGAGCATACCTGTATCATGAGTGCCACAGTGAAGTGGGTAAAAAGGATCTGAACTCCAAGTGAAGTGACGTGGAGCGGACAGAGAAACAAGAAATTTAACTCGAATCAGAGTAGCCACACAGTATGATAATATTACTCTAGTAAAATAAAATGTACACTGCAGTAAGGGTATTTTCAAACCTGGCAGTTCAGTAGACTGGATACCATCGAGAAAACACTGAACTGTCACAAACGACCCAAACTAATTGATAAACCAGCTCCCCGCCTCATATGCATTGGCACTGCACGAAGAACTACTGAAGGAAAAAACAAGAAAACCTCAGAAGAAGACATGAGGGCAACTTCCTTCTTCACAAGATGTAAACAAAAATGGAGTAGCAACAAATTTTAGCGTTTCAATGATTTCTCTTTTGTCTTTGGTAAAAGACAACAAGTCTAGTGTTGGACTCTTGCATTTGTTTTGATTCTATTGACCCAGAAAGCCCTGCGCTACAGTTTGCTTCTGGCTTTTG